CTGGATTTCTTCACTGATAGGAGAGGCTTTTATTTTGGATTTGGTGGTTTTTTCCAGATAGGTGGTGGGATCTGTTTTTATAGGTTGGTAGGTAGGGTCTTGGAGTAGATTTGATAGTTTTGCTTGGTAGTCCGATGTGTTCATCACAACAGTGGCATTACCTTTGTCTGCTGGGAGAATGATTATGTTGTTGTCTTTCCTCAGGTTGGTGAGTGCTTTCTGTTCTTCTTTGTGTAAATTGCTTCTGGGTGGTTTGCTGGAGCAGAGGATGTTGGTGACTTCAAGTCTGATTTTATTGGCTTCATCTGGGTTGATTTTGGTTAGGCTAGCTTCGACAGCCTTCGACAGCCATTCAAAACAAATACAATCCCCCCGAATACATCCTGGACCTGACCAACCACTGCCTAACCAACACGTACTTCATCCACAATGGACAAAGATACAAACAGATAGAAGGAGCACCTATGGGATCACCACTCTCACCGGTCATCGCAAACCTGTACATGGAACACTTTGAAACCAATGCTTTAGACAAGTCAGAACACAAACCCAAACTTTGGCTCAGATATGTTGACGACACCTTTGTAATTTGGCCACACGGGAAGGAAAAACTAGATAGCTTCCTCACACATCTCAACAGCCTACACCCCAAAATACAATTCACTATGGAAATAGAAGCCAACAACCAACTTCCCTTCCTTGACGTCCTAATCTACAAAAAACCTGATGGCTCCCTAGGACACACTATCTACCGGAAAAAAACACACACCAACCGCTACTTACATGCACAATCACACCACCACCCTGCACAAATAAACTCCGTAGCCAAGACTCTCATCTCCAGAACCAAACGCCTGGCTGACAAAGACCACTTGACAACTGAGTTACAGAATCTCTCAAATGTGTTAATCGCCAATGGATACCAGCAAAACAGGGTTACGAAGCTAATGCAAAAAGAAACACCCCCCAAAAACCAAGACACAGAAGAAAACAATGGCATGGCCCTCCTTCCTTATATCAAGGGCACTACAGATAAAATTAGCAAAATCCTCCATAAACACAATATCAAAACAGCCTTTTGCACCAACCAAAAAATAGCCAATATCCTCAGAAACCCCAAGGATAAAATCCAGTTGGAAAACCAAGGGGTCTATGAAATACCCTGCAAAGTCTGCCCAGCCACGTACATTGGACAAACAAACAGACGAATAAATGCACGTATCGCAGAACACAAGAATGCCGTCAAAAAAGAAGAAAAAACTTCCTCTCTTTTCCAACACATGAAAGAAACAGGACACGAAATTAATTTTGCAGATTCCAAATTGCTCTCTAACATGGAACATCACCACAAGAGAATAATCATGGAAGCCATCGAGATAGAGAAACACCCTCACAACATGAACAAGCGTGACGACACATCCCGCCTGCCAGACATCTGGAAATTAGCCCTCCCCACAAAAACCGACACCAGATCCAGAGGCACACAGAACGCCATCACCAATCAACCACACCAGACCCAAACCCAGACCCTCTCCACAGATAAATTACAGACACCATCCAGTAGCCAAACCATGGTGGCACCTCCGGATGCTGCACCCCCCTGCAATCCCTACACAGATCTGGCTGGCACAGGACACAAAACCACAGCTCGCCCCTATACACGAAGCCAAGCCAGAGCACAACTAAGTGCAGTACAGCCATCTTCTCAGAAAAACTCTTCACAAAGTTCAAGAGGTCAAGACACGAAGGCTTTAGCAACTAATCCACACCTAATGACCCACCTAAGTGGTACTCAGGATATCACTCAAGAAATCACTCAAGATATCCCTCAAGTAATTAAGGAACAAAAGAAGAAAAGGCACACTAGCCTGGGAACTTCCTCTCTGCCCAGAACATTGGAGGCTATACACCACACCCCCTCAACAGTATTTATAGGAACTCAAACACTGAGATCCTGCTCTGTTCCAGTAACAAGAAGCCGAAAGCACCAGCCTGAAGATGACGAGTGAGACCTCGTCGAAACGTCGCCTAGACACCCCAACTTTTACACGGGAAGACACCCGAGGACACCAAAACCTGCATTCCTGTACCCGTGAAAATCTACGAAAGCATATATATATATATATATATATATATATATATATATATATATATACCTGTGTTCTGAGAGAGAGTCTGTCTGTCTGTGGTGGTTATAGTATGAGGGATTGGTTGATGGCAGTTTGCTGAGAGAGTGTACATGCTGCTAACACTCTGTATCCGTATATAGTAATATGTGTGTTTATTACTGTTTACTACAATAAACACTAGGACGCAGGTGGCGCTGTGGTCTAAACCACAGAGCCTAGGGCTTGCCGATCAGAAGGTTGGCGGTTTGAATCCCCGTGACAGGGTGAGCTCCCGTTGCTCAGTCCCAGCTCCTGCCAACCTAGCAGTTCAAAAGCATGTCAAAGTGCAAGTAGATAAATAGGTACCGCTCCAGCAGGAAGGTAAACGGTGTTTCCGTGCACTGCTCTTGTTTTGCCAGAAGCGGCTCAGTCATGCTGGCCACATGACCTGGAAAAACTGTCTGCAGACAAACGTTGGCTCCCTCGGCCAGTAAAGCGAGATGAGCGCCGCAACCCCAGAGTCGTTTGCGACCGGACTTAACTGTCAGGGGTCCTTTACCTTTACAATAAACACTAGTTGTAGCTTTCAAGCCCTTTTTTCCTTTATTGTCCAGAATGACAGCATTTAGACTTCAATCGGCTTCCAACGACATTGCGTATTCTGCAAGGCTCACACCAGAGGAAGCATGTGGGCTCAAGATTTATTAGCACACTTTGCTTGCAATAAATCTCTCAAAGTCCCAATATTTCCAGGACACTTGCTGGGTATGCAATGTCCATTCTCTCATGTGTTTGGTGGCAGCCATGTAGAAAGTGACACAATAGGTATAGGCTGGTTGTCTTATCCAAATTCCTGGGGCAGGTACTGTGCTTATGGCACCCATTTAAAATTAGTCCTGTTGGACAACCACAACCCTGATATCGACACAGAAGTAAAAAGTAGAGTTAAAACTACCAATCCATTTCATCAAACATCTTTATTTGAGTCAGTGGACAGTGTGAAGAACTGAAGCTATGCTGGCAGCCGTAAATGTCAGCCAAGTTATAACCTTGGTGTTTTCTCCCGCTTTGGGCAGTCTTGGCTGGGTCATGCTGTCCAAAATTTACCACCCAACCCAGGATTGCTTTCCTCTTGAAATTCATTCTCAGCTCAGGTATTGCCAGGTCCTCTGTTGATATCCGCAAGGCTGTGGATCTAGGGAGGGGCCCCTCTCAAAAAATGTTTGGAGATGCATCTAGTGGAAAACAGCCTCTGGGAAAGAAAGGCACCTATTAAAAAATATATATTTTTTATTTTGGCCAAGCAAGAATTCTGTTTGATCTTCTATTTGAAGGCAGGAAAGTATTAAAAAGCCAGTATATGCTCCAGCTTTCAACAGTACAGTTCAGGCAGAAAAAAAGATTACTATCTATCTGTTACTTTCTATACAAAGGATGGGGAATTGGTGGATTCCGTTATTGGTGGATTACATCGTCCCTGACCACTGGGACATATACTCAGGCACAGCACTATGTACAAATATATGACATAAAAGGTTAACTCCTGAAATACTATTTCTGTCACTCTCTTAATGTCTTTTTATTTTGCTGCTATTGCATTAACTTCCGACTGATATGCCCATTCTTTGCCGACGTTATAGACTGTACTTTAAGTTTCCCATCACCTAGACAACTCTGCTTATGGACTAACCAATAGTATGATTAAATAAATGCTGCATACACCATCAAAGAAAACAGGGAGAGTGAACTGGGAAGGGTTATATGACCTCAGCAAACTGCCAGCTCAGAACTATCCAAGGTCCTGCGATGAGAGAGTCCTGATAGTAGACGACTCAGTCAAGGAAGCCAAGTTGCATGCAACTGGGTGGGGGTTTCTAGAAACACCACGCTCTTCTGGATTTTTGGCCATTTCTGAGGCCATCCCCAAGGAGATTCTGACTCAACATTAGGAAGAACTTTCTGACAGTAAGAACAGCTGCTTGACACTGGGACGGACTCCCTCGGAAAGTGGTGCACTCTCCTTCCTTGGAGGGTTTTAAGCAGATGTTGGATGGCCATTTGTCATAGATGATGCCAGGTGTGCATGCAGGAGTCAGGCCCTGTGACCAATAGGACTATGTAGGATTGGGGCCTTCCTAAGTTTGTTCTGAAGGCAAGGCGCAGCTGCACAGGTGAGGCTGATTGGTAACTCACAGCACCTGGTGGCAAGAGCTGGGGAGGGATATAAGATCAGCATTTCCCTTCGGCTCTTTGCCACAGCAACACGCTTCCTGCCTTGATGCTTCTTGCTTCCCGATCCTTGAAGCTCAGCTTCTTGACTCTCTGCTTCTTGATCCTCGGACCCTTGACTCCTTGATCCTCGGACCCCTGACTTCGTGACTTCGTGACTCCTTGCTTCCTGACCCTCAGATCCTTGGGTTCCTGAATCCTGGCTTCTGGACCCCCTTTCCTGCTCCCACCCCGCCATCTTGCCCCCGGTCCTGACGTCCCCTGCCAGGACTTCGATCGCCCGTGAACCAGACCATGACTGATGATTTAGCTGAGATTCCTGCATTGCTCAGGGTTGGACTAGATGACCCTTGGGGTCCCTTCCAACTCTACAATTATATGATTCTACAATAAGAGGAACCCTACTGGATCCAGACCAAAGGCCCGTCTCATCCAGTATTCTGGTCTCACAGTAGCCGACCATGTACTCAAGGGGAGTCCACAAGCAAGACTCTTCTGTCCCGCCCCCCCCCCCCGCCCCGGCCTAAAAGTACAGAAAGGGGAGGAGGGGAAGGGGGCTGTAACTGGGTTTCTTTTTGAATCATCACCATCATCAACAACCATAAAGAGCTAAGCAGAGATGACTCCAGAGGAAATGGGGGTGGGGGGAATAACCACAGTGAATCATAGACCAAGACAGCAAGTCTTTAATGATATTATTGCATAGCATGATAAGACAAATGAATGAGATGTTTTCGGGGCCACCACGTTTATTATGTCCCATGTCCCAAAGACCCAGCTGAACTTCCACTTTTCACTTAACGCTTTTCTGTAGGTCCTTTCACACAGATGTCACAAATCTTCATAACAGTGAACTTTCTTTACTTTTAAAGGCAGGCAGTTTCGTGGAGCGGACAACATTTATAACCGTGTTTATGCAGAAAGGCAAAAGTATTCTTCAAGATTAAAAAAACAACAAAACCCACACACAAATATTATTCACATTGTTAAAGTGACTTCTCTAAGGCCATGAAGGGATCGTAAAAAGCCAAAAATGGGCAGGAGTGCTCTTAACATGGGAGAGTGTGAACAATCGGAGATTCTGAGCACCAATACAAAATGCCATTTTCCGGGAGAGATTTGGAACAAGCCACAACTGCTGGACAGGCTTAAATCACCCACAAGAAAGCTCTTTATGCTACATTTCTGCAGGTCTGTTAATTTCTACAGGTGAATCTTGGAGCAATCCATAATACTCGTACCTCAGCATCACTTTCCACACTATAAAGCAAAAGTTTTGGTCCGTAAGAGAAAAACTTGGTTGGGTAATGCCTTTTATTTTACCTCGTGGATACGACGTTTTGCCTTTCCTTTCCAACTCAATCCTACCACCTAGTTTTGGGTGACATCTCGCCTAACCAAGAGTTCCAGGTGACCCAAAAGTTCCCCACATTTTGGTTGGTCCCAATCCAGGTTTTTCTCAAGAGTTGGGCCTTGGAGTGTCCTCCAAAACTATGGGATTCCTTCCCCCTACCCCAAGAAGCAGCTCCTGAGAGAAATAGCAAGTCTGCAGAAGATGTACACATGTGCACAACTGCATGTCATGTAGCTCAGAATGTGGTGTTTCTGGGTTGTTTAGTAAGCAGGTACAGTGATCCTCCTCACCCAGTGCTTTACTCCTGGGGGAAGGAGAGATCAGTGATGTACACTGAAATCCTGGGATGCCACATCAGCTTCTCAGCAGGCTTGAGTGGACCTGATCCGTCTTCCAGAGGTTTAGGATCTCGTGGACCACACACTGCAAGACGTGAGTTGCATCTGTTGCTAATTCACACAAGGCAGTGTGGGTGTCTTCAAACACAGGAATGTTCCTGGTTGGTTACTGGTGACAATTTTCTCATGCATCTACACCTTGTGTGTGGTCCAAGTTCTTGTGGGCAGAATGATGCAGATGACAGTGCTACCCAGGGAGGAGCAGAACCAGCTCGATGAATCTGCACGGGGCTCTTCCTCGTCTATGAGAGAATAACACAAGCCCAACTCAAGCCACCGAGAGCCAAGATTGTCAACTTAACCTGCTCTTCTCAGACAAGCCCAGTCCAGCAGTACAATTTTGCGACAGAAAAGTCTCCCCTCACAAACGAGCCACTATATATATAATCAGAAGAATTGTGATAGGATGCTGGAATACTTGGTGAACCTACTTACAAGAATGAACTATGTGTGGCTTGACAAAAATACCTAGTGAAACAGGGTTGAAACAGCACAGGGAGAACTTCATCAATGGGCTTCTTAGCTAAGATATAACCAAAGGGAACTCAAGACTCAAACGCCATTGAGTTACTGTCTAAAATGCTTCCAAGCAACCATATCCATGCAGTGAAGATCTGTTTCACCTAGATGTTTGGCCTAGTTCTGGAACGTTTAACCCGCCCCCTGCCCCAACCTAAGCGCTGAAATTTCCATGATATTGAACCCTCCCTCCCAGTCATTCTGCCCATTTATATGCCTTGCTGAAAAGCAACCGTGAAAACATGAAGAAACTCAAAACAATATTGTAAACAAAATACCAGTGGACAGCGTTTGTGATCCAGTTGTAAGAACACTTAGAGGTTCGTTCAGATGCAACCAGTAGGACTTATGCACAAAAAAATGGGTTAAGATTGTGGCACGGACAGGAAAATTCATTGGGACAGTATTGTCTGCGGACCATGAAATATTTTGTACAGACACAGGGACGGTTCAAATATATTAGTATCTCTTTGTATATCTACGCTCAAGAGTTGCGCAAGGCAGTTCCATGTTCAGTCTTTTATGATTCTCGTTTCAGGAGGACATACGCGCCCATGACAGCCAGGAGAGCATACTGCAAACAAAACATATAGATTACTTTGGTATCTAGCATAACTCTTTGCATCTCAGATGTCAAAAATCAGATCCTGTTTCAGAATAAGTTTTCAATATAGTACTGGCACCAGTTTCTGAAAAGCAAAGGATAGGTCGAAATTGTCTGCAATGTGAACGAATGTGGATTCCCGATTGGCCAATATCCCTTCCAGTGGAGTAATTCACCCTCGCCTGGTTCACACATAACACTAAACCATGGTTTACTACACCATGGTTTATTAAACCATGGTTCGGCATTATGTGCAAATCCTGCCCAAAGCTTAACTATGGTTTGTTCACTGCCAACAAACCACAAACTGCAACCATGTACCTTGGGTTTGGTTTGGTTTTTTAAAAAAACTATGGTTTGGTATTATGTGTGAACCCATCCTTAAAAATGATTCAACCACCAGATTCTCACTAAAGAAGCTGGAAACAGACTAACTTTGGAGAAGCAATGTATTTCATTCATGGCTGGTTAAATGAACTATGGCTTCCAATTATGTATAAACCTGGACTCTATGTACATCCCTATGTGTGAGTGAAGCTGCACTCGTGACTGAAGTGAACGGAGCAGGAATTCTGGGCGCCACTGGAAGGCACATGGGGCTCTGAATAAGAGTGCATATACTTATGCATGTAGATGTATTCTTACTTGATTAGAGATCTAATATTTGACCCTCGGTGTGTTTCAAATAATGATTAAAACTGAAATCTAATGGAGTCACAGAACGCACAGTATTACCGCATGACTAATTATGTGTGGAAATTATATCTACAGCTATACAAAAGCAAGGTTTATTTTAATACTGCCTATAGCAACATTGTCGGGAATTTAAAAACATTCTGTTGAGCGAAACAAAAAAAGAATAAAAAGCTTATTTGTAAATGTGACACATGGCTAGTTTTCTCTGTGGCGTTTTGAGAACAGGAAAAATAAAAACACTGCTCTATTTGAATACTCACGCTCGCAAAAATTCTCCAGCATGATCCTTGATGCAAAGCAAGATGCTGCCCTCAGAAATATGAAACGGGAATGATATCTGCATAAGGCGAACATTTCCTTGAGTACAGTATATTTTTTTTAAAAAACCCAGGGAATTGAGGCTTTGTACATTGACAGTCGGGTGCTAGGGACCTCTGCTTCCCAAACTCCACTGAAATTAATGGGAGCTACACAACAGACAATTTGTAGTTTTGCACAATTCCCATTCACTTTAATGATACTGGCTGTCGCTGCATCAGCATTTGGTTTTTCTTATTTACCATCAAGCGGTGTAAAAATTTTATGAAATAAATATGCCAATGCATTGAACCCACTGTGTGCAGACCAAAATTATCCCATATCTGAAGCATGAGCCTTTAGTGGCAAAAGGAAGTAGGCGTGATAAAATCTTCCAAGCACAATCTTCTCTCTACCAGGGAATCTGTTCATGCAAGTTTGCAGACTGGTTGGCGAAAGAATTGCTTCTTTGCCGAAAAAGTTACTGGCCCCAGAGTTAAATCTTTACTTACCTTAAATTTTGGATAGTCGTTCATGATTATGGTCACCATTCCAACATACGGCAAAAACCTGATTCGTGGAGGTTAAACAGAATAGCATAAAGTCATTTCAAAATAGCCTGACTTAATGTAGCATTTTATGCTTTTATTTTTATATTTAAGCCAGACCAGGTACAAGCCTCAGGAGCTTCAAATATCAGAATTCATCATTAAAGGAGAAAAAGGTTTCTAGCCCTTTTGGCTAGTATAGTTTGAGAATCTGATGGCTAAAAATGATAGAAGTAGAATAAATAAAGGCTGAAAACGAACAGTCCATTTGAATGTATGTAATGGCCGGGAAGTCAGGGTTCAGTTGGCCCAGAACAGCCCACATCCTCCAGAGAGACAAGCGCTGATTTGAGCAAAATAAATGCACACAAGACAGATAATAGTTTATGTAGCACTGCAGAAAGCTTTGCGAGGTGCAAATGAGAGCGGAGTATTCACGGGCAAAGGCAAATACGGCAGTGCAATTAAGACGTGGCGTGGAAAGATTTTTCCCCCCACAGAAATCAGAAATTCTGACACGGGGGGGGGGGAGACAGTCCACTCAGCATGTTTAGCCTGGAAAAGAAGAGACTGGGAGGAGATAGGACAGCTAACTTCAAATATCTTAAAAGACTGTCACATGGAAGATGGAGAGCAAAAGCCTGTTTTCTCCTGCCCTGGAGGGTAGGACTTGAAGCAATGGCTTCAAGTTACAAGGAGATTACAACTCAACATCAGGAGGAAGTCTCTGACCGTAAGAGCCCTTGGAAGGTGATGGACTCTCCTTCCTTGGAGGTTTTAAGCAGAGATTGGATGACCACCTGCCACAGATGCTTTAGCTGAGATTCCTGCATTGCAGGGGGTTGGACTAGATGACCCTAAGAGGCCTACACAGAATGCCTCTGCAGCAGGGGTGGGAAGGAAGATGCAGCCCTCAAGGCCTTTCTACCTGACCCTCAGGGAAATCCCCGGGCTGCTCTCCTTACCAGCCCTGCTTTGAACCCTCCCTGAGTATTTTCCCCTTGCTGAAATAAGTCTGTGAATGCTGATAATGCCTCTTGCTTGACTGGGTGCAGGAAGGAGAGGGGCATGTGAGGGTGTAGAACAGGGTAGGCAACCTAAGGCCCGGGGGCTGGATCCAGCCCTATCACCTTCTCAAATCCAGCCCGCAGACGGTCCAGGAATCAGCGTGTTTTTTACATGAGTAGAATGTGTCCTTTTATTTAAAAATGCATCTCTGGGTTATTTGTGGGGCATAGGAATTCGTTCCACCCCCCAAAAAAAAAATAGTCCGGCCCACCACACGGTCTAAGGGAAAAGTGGACCGGCCCACAGCTGAAAACTGTTGGCGACTCCTGTTGTAGAAACTAGACCTTCCAATACAATGATAAAATACACTTTTTGCTCTGACCAGCTTTTTTCTTCCGGTCCTGCCTGCCCCCAGGTAGTAAGCCCAGAAAGGAAACGGGGTCTGTGATCTGAAAAAAGGCTTCCCCACTCCTGCTAAAGAGGTTTGCTTCAGCCCTGCTTTCAAAAGTCACCCACCTATTGCCCTTCATTTCAGGGGCAGCACAGCCCACCCTGCAGCCACACTCACCCTCGTGCCCTGCCGACAACGTCCTTCTTCTCCAGCCAGTTCTGGCCTTCTTTGTACAAGCCTCTGTCGTCAACTTCGTTATTGTCGCCCTTGGTCAGAAATTTGATGTTGCCGTTTTCCCTGCCAAAACAAGAAGACGGCAAACGCGTTATGGAGCCACACCTGGAAGTCGCCCATTAGAATGTTTGCAAAACAGAACGGATAAGGTACCAATCTGCTCTTCCTGCTGTCTTTTAATAAATATCGAGACCTTCATTTCTGACTCTTACTGACAGATCTAAGCACCTATTTCTTCCCGGGCTGTTAATAATTTACTTTGGGCAAAACAAAGAGTTATCTGTTTAGTTACTAGATGCCTGCCCTAATGTGGTTAAAGAGAAATAAGGGTGTTTCTTGATCTGGAAAACAGGCACCTGAACATGGGAAAGTAACAAGAAATCTGGGGTCCAAGAAAGAGGTTGTTTCAATTCAGAAAAGCTTTGAGAGAATAGCAACCAGACTTACATTCTCTGTGCTAGAGGCAGCAGCCTGGGATTGTGTTCTGCCCAGGTATCTTTTAACCACAACTCCCATAATTCCTGATCACTGGCCATGCTGGCTGGGGCAGAGGGAAGCTGTGATCCAAAAGGTCTGGTGGAGCAAACCATAGGGACAAACTCCCTGGCTAAACCCCTCAGCACCCACTGCTAGTCAGTGTACATTAAGTCTGCTAGATGGACCAATAGTCTGACTTGGTGTAAGGCAGCCTATGTTCCTAACATTGGTTTCAGCATGTGATTAAGTCTGGAGCACAAGCCCGGGTCTGAACCACACACTAAGCCAAGCCATGGCTTAGCTCAGTACAGGGAAGCAGCAGAATGCCTGGGGATGAGCAAAAAGGCCATGACCTCCTTTCCCAGAGCTTGCACATTTGCATTAAGGAACCCCTTCGTCTGCAGTCCTCTGTGATAAACCACTTTATGGAGCTGATGTTTTAAAAAGCGGTTGAACAGCTGCAGAGTGAAAGAAAGTACTGCAGGTGCTTTCGAAACCCAATAATTTGGAGAGCTGAGGCTGACTGCATTGACAGCACTCATTCAATACATACATGCACCAAATACGTCCTTTTTAAAATTAAGGAATGTACATTTAGCCCAAGTATTTCCTGCCCAGTTCACCCTCCCAATTTCACTTCAAATGCAAATCTCCATTCCTTCTAAGCATTCTGCACTCTAACAGCCAAGCAAGATGACCACACCAGTGACAGCACCGAATTGTTTTTGGCCATTACTTTTCGTGAACTTTGATTACTCTGTGTACAATCGGAATATCTCTGCCTTCGACTTTAAAAACCACTATTTCCCCGGCCCTGATGGGGTCGTCCCGGAAGTTTGTTAAGAACAGCAGATCTCCTCTGTGGAAGGCTGGCTCCATGCTGCCACTATAAAGGAAAGAAGAGAAACAGGGATTAAAGAGTCAGTATCATTCTTCTGTCAGGGAGGAAGCTTGGTACTAGTTTTCTTCTTTAAAAATTACTATTACAGTGGTAACTGAAGAAAAATCAGTTATGTTCACAGGCTATTGAAGCTATACCCTGATATTTGACAGCTGACGTATTTCACATTCCAAGGTGCACTATATCCCACAATGCCCAAATACATTTCAAATGTATTTGCCTGGAAATGAAATGACGACAAGGGTTGGTGTCTGGCAGACCTCCCTTGGCTGCGAGACTTGGAATCCTTGCTCAACCTGCTCCCTGCCTTGCAGGACTTTTCCCACCTGGCTGGGGGGGGGCGCCCTGACTGACTCCAGCTACAAAAGCTGAGGCTGCTGAACAGACTCTTGGGCTGCAGTGTTGTTTGGGGTCTTTGTTGGGGGGGGGGAGTGCTGCTGTTAATTTTTTTGCATATTTATTTTGTTTAAATAAAAAAATATGTGCAAATTGCTCAGTTTGGTTGTGTACATCTTGATGTTACATTTATTGTTTATTACTACTTTTGTTGCGTTTGCAGTTGTGTATTTTTTTATATGCTGCAAGCCGCCTTGAGCATGGTTTTAACTCTGGAAAGGCAATGTACAAATAAAATGACTGCCTGAGAGCATTCCATAGGCAGGGGCTAAATCTGTTTTTAATCAAGCTTATGTGATTTTTATTGTACTTTTTACTTTGGTTGTAAATAATTTTGGGCCTTTTTTTTTTTTTTTTAGTGGTACATGATGCACAGGTTGAATAAGCTTAACTAGGGATATACATCAGACAGACAACAGTTGCAGAAACCACACATCCTGGTCTCCTTCCAAGATCTGCAGATACTATTTTAGGAGCGGAATGGGGCATAAGCTATGGGTCACTCGCTAACCCAGCAACAGATTTGGTTTAACATAGGCATACCTGAGCACTACAACGATAGGACTCTCACTCCCAGTGATAACAATAAGGCCTTTCCATATCATCAGCGCCGAAGACACAATCATGGCAAAATTTAAGACTTGGTAATAGAGCTGTAAGGAAGGGAAGAGCTGTGATGAGTGGAAACGGCAGAGCAAAAAGCTGAGATTAAGCAAGCAAGCCAACAGATGCCAGCAGGGTTCTCATTTCCTGATGTTATAGCACAGGCTGCACTAGCACAGAATGCACTGGGCTTAAGAGGGATTGCTCCAGCTCCAGAGCTGGGGAAACTAGCTTGGGTGTGAATGGCACAGCCCAAACACTTTTAAGGGACGAGGAAGCAAGTGTGAAAGGAGGCGCCAGGGCAAGGGAATCTCCTGATAAGACTGGACTCCAGTAACCCACATTTGTGCTTTTACAGCTCTACAACTCACAGTGGCCCCCACTTCTATGTTTGGGGAGGGGGAGAGATTATTATACTGCACAGAAACATAAATGGCCACAGCTGCTAGTCTTGAAAGAACCAAACCAATGCAGAAACCTATTAACGGTCGAGATTGTTTGCTTCCAGGAAGGAAAGGGGAGGCACATTCTGAGATGTAAATACTGTAGGATCTTTTTTATCTTCGACAGACACACGTTGAGCTTCTTCGACAGAGGTGAAGGCTCCCCAGGGCGCCGTGCCTTTATAACAGGCGGCTTGGTGGGGCTGCACAAAACAGGGCAATCAAAAACAGACTGCCGGGAAGGGGGGTGCACTGACCACAACACTGCCGCCCTCACCAGAGAGGGGGAAAGTAGATCAGTGCAGAGGGGAAAGTAGGGCGTTCAGATTTCACCTGCCTGAACAAGGCAGCTGTACAGTGCTCAAAAGGAACCCAAAGGATGGCCTCATTTCCTGGCTTCTTTCAGAACAGGTAAAATTGTTCAAAGGCAGAGGCTGGGGGTGGGGTGGGGGGAGAGAAATTAGAACATTTTTTTACCTTCACCCTCCATGATTTATTGTACAAGTCACCCAAAAACATATGTACTCTGCTCACAAAAGTTAAAATAATAACAGTATTTTAAAAAAAAAATACAGAGAGAGAGAAAAACACAACACAATAAAAAGCAGCTGAGCTAGGGTTTGTTTGGACCCTGGGTGGGAATATGGTGGCTGAAAGGGAGGAAAACGAATGGATCTTGATTTATAGATAAAACTGTTTATTAATGTTACATTTTTATATGTAACTGTGTGCTTTTGTAATATTTTGTTTATGATGTCTGTTGCTGCTTCAGTTTTTTGAGTACCACCGCTCAGAGAGATTTAAAATATATTATATGGTATAGAAATTAAATAATCAATCAATATAAAACCACCCATTGGGTGGCGTCTAGTGAATTAGTTCCGTTAGCACAAGGACTTGGGTCTGAACAACTGAACCTTCCCTTCTCCTCTGCCCATACGCCGCCGCCACCCCAAAAAAAACTGTTCTTGAAGTTACCCCCAACCCTCCAGAGCAAATCTGGTGAGGTCTCCAAGAGAGGAGGGGGAGAGAAAGTTCTGTTGCACAAGAAGAAAAGCTTGCACTAGCAGAAGTACTTCATATTGACAGCGTACATTGAAATTATTGGTTTTTGTTGCTTATGCATTTTTACAACTTATATATACATCATACAATATCCATCATTTATCCCTTATCCTCAGACTTCCCAGTCCACCTCTCCCTGGCATTCTAGGTAGTCTTTTATTTCACCCATTTTTGTCTCAAATGTTCATTTATTTAGTGTTATCTGCTGCTTATATGTTCATTCCTACTTGTGGGTTAAATTGACTGTTGCACCCTCTAAGATACCGTCCACTGAAATTAATGGAGATGACTAACTGAGGTCCATTCACTTTCAATGGTTCTATCCTGAGCATAGCTGAGTCAAATACAAACATTACTTGGAACAGCCCAGTTCAATTCCTGACATGTCCAGGGAAAGCTGGGAATGTCCCTACTGGAACTCTGGGCAGCTGCTGCTGGTCAGTGTAGATAATACTAAGTTCAATGGTGCAGCAGCCTGACTTGGTGTTCCTATAAGTTAGCCCTTCCCTAGACTAGGTGCTCAAGTGGATCTGTGATTTTGACATGCAGTGAAACAGTCATGCAAACAGGCTCACCCCACATTCCCCATGACGCCACAAAGCTGACAAAAAGCTCCAGCCAAGATGTGGGGAGTGAAATGTACACTTGGATTATATGCTGGGCAGGTGGTGGAAGAAGTGTCATAACTGCTTAACCTCAAAAAGGAAGCTCCACTTGACTTACATTCTTAAGACACCAATTGGGTTGGATGAATCATCCTTTCATCAATCACCCACCCACCCGAAGAGAGACCGGAAATGTAAAAAAAAAAAAAGGAAAAGCTGTGTTCTACATCCTCTTTGCACACAACCCACAATAATAATAATAATTATAATTATTTCCCCAGCCACTCTGGGCGGCTCCCAATCAGTGTTAAAAACAGTACAGCGTTACATATTAAAAACTTCCCTGAATAGGGCTGCCTTAAGATGTCTTATGAATGTCAGGTTATTTATCTCTTTGACATCTGATGGGAGGGCGTTCCACAGGGCGGGCGCCACTACCGAGAAGGCCCTCTGTCTGGTTCCCTGTAGCCTCACTTCTCGCAATGAGGGAACCGCCAGAAGGCCCTCGGCGCTGGATCTCAGTGTCCGGGCTGAACGATGGGGGTGGAGACGCTCCTTCAGGTATACAGGACCGAGGCCATTTAGGGCTTTAAAGGTCAGCACCAACACTTTGAATCGTGCTCGGAAACGTACTGGGAGCCAATGCAGATCTCTCAGAACCGGTGTTATGTGGTCCCGGCGGCCACTCCCAGTCACCAGTCTAGCTGCCGCATTCTGGATTAATTGCAGTTTCCGGGTCACCTTCAAAGGTAGCCCCACGTAGAGCGCGTTGCAGTAGTCCAAGCGTGAGATAACTAGAGCATGCACCACTCTGGCAAGACAGTTTGCAGGCAGGTAGGGTCTTAGCCTGCGCACCAGGTGGAGCTGGTAGACAGCTGCCCTGGACACAGAGTTAAACCTGCGCCTCCATGGACAGCTGTGAGTCCAAAATGACTCCTAGGCTGCGCACCTGGTCCTTCAGGGGCACAGTTACATTCATTCAAGCCAACTCTCCTCCATCAAAACATTCTCCTCTCAAGCACTTCCAGGCTTCCTTATTTTATCTCTCAGCATCCTGTATGACGAAAAGGGGGGGGGCGAGGTCCGCATTTATTTGCTCCTAAGACGCTTTGGGGCAGCTGTGAGGAGAAACAGACACACAACCCCACCAATTTTAAATATGGAGGATGAAAGGAAAGAAACTGGAACTCTGAAGAGTAGAAAAACAAACCCTTTTCAGCTCTTGTTTTCCAGAATGAGAAGCCTGCCATGGAATTCTGCTCAATATTGATCCAGACTAGAATCCAATGTATAGTTTGGAATACATATATTTGTCTAGTTAGCCGAGTAACAACTTAAACACGTTGCAGGATTCTCAGAAAACAGACCAGAGGCAATTGTATTTCATCCAGCAGAGCATTACTGCTACTGAAGGCAAATGAGCATCATGGTCACAAATCCAATACATTCAGGGTTGGCACTGTCCATAGGAAATCCAGTTGCAGCAGACTTAACTTAAACTTAAAATAAGACTAAACCTTAACACTGTATGCATAACACAACAACAGAAGGAAAAGAGCTTGAAAGAAGAAGTGAAGCCCAGGCTCCTTCTGGCCTATTATTATAGTCAGCATGACCGTGAAAGAAGAGATAACAGAAGCAGTTTAAGCCAGCTGTACTCAGTTTCTCGGAAGGAATAACCCAAACATCATGAACCGCCAGCAAGACAGAAATCACAACTAAAGAATCCCTGATAGACCCAACCTCCGTTTAAAAACCTCCAATGAAGGAAAGTCTACAACCTCCCAAAGAGGTTTTTAAACAGAGGTTGGATGGCAACTGCTTTTATAAAGGTTTATACATATATAGGTCTTGCTGGCAACAAGACAAACTGTAGTTGTGCTTTTCTATTACCTGGCGCTTGTTCATTCGCCGCAGGTCACCAAATATATCCATGGCTGCAGCTTTCTGAGGAGCCAATAACCGAAAGAGAGAAGGAGAGAGAAATGTTATTCTTAAACTAGGTAAGGTAAGGTAAAAGGTAAAGGACCCCTGGACGGTTAAGTCCGGTCAAAAGCGACTATGAGGTGCGGCTCTCATCTTGCTTCATGTCCGGGTCATGTGGCCAGCATGACTAAACCGATTCTGGCACAACAGAACATTGTGATGGAAGCCAGAGCACATGGAAATGCTGTTTACCTTCCCGCCACAGCGGTACCTATTTATCTACTTGCACTGTTGTGCTTTTGAACTGCTAGGTTGGCAGGAGCTGGGACAGAGCAACGGGAGCTCACCCCATTGCGGGGATTCGAACCACCAACCTTTGGATTGGCAAACCCAAGAGGTTCAGTGGGTTAGACCACAGCGCCACCCGTGTCCCCTTTTCTTAAACTAGGTTGAAGTGCAAAGCTGTGAATTCTACCAGGTGTATCTTTCACAGAAAGGATGTGGGCAAAAAGTATGGTTAGGTTGTAGTGAACACTGAACTGCAACCCTCGTTCTGGTATCAATTGTATGGAGAGACTTAGGACAAGAATATGTAACCTTTGGCCTTCCAAATCTTGTTGGACACCAACTCCCATCATCCAGCATGGCAAATGGTCAGGGATGATGGGAGTTGTAGTCCAACAACATGGAAGGCCACAGCTTCCCCAGCCTTCAAATACACCCCTAAAGGTAAAGGTACCCCTGCCCGTACGGGCCAGTCTTGCCAGACTCTAGGGTTGTGCGCCCATCTCACTCAAGAGGCCGGGGGCCAGCGCTGTCCGGAGACACTTCCGGGTCACGTGGCCAGCGTGACATCGCTGCTCTGGCGAGCCAGAGCTGCACACGGAACGCCGTTTACCTTCCCGCTAGTAAGCGGTCCCTATTTATCTACTTGCACCCGGGGGTGCTTTCGAACTGCTAGGTTGGCAGGCGCTGGGACCGAGCAACGGGAGCGCACCCCGCCGCGGGGATTCAAACCGCCGACCTTTCGATCGGCAAGTCCTAGGCGCTGAGGCTTTTACCCACAGCGCCACCCGCCAACCTTAATAAATTGTTGCTTTCAACTGCTCAAAGGGCTTCACGTGCATTATCTAGCTGCAATACTTATTGACTTACCTTTCAGGGAATCTTGTATCGTTAGCCCTCATACTGTAGACCACCTATGCTAGTCTTCACCATCCTGGTGCCCTTCCAGATGTGTTAGACTACAACTCCCATCAGGCACAGTGAGCATGGCTGTTGGGAGTTGTAGTATGGCACATCTGGAAGGACACCAGCTTGGCAGAGGCGAGATTCAAACCACAGGCTTCCCAATTCATAACTCAGTTTCTTAACTACTACACTTCCCCTTTAGAAGCAACTATATTTTCTTTAAGTGTTTGCTTTTTGACAGAAGCATTTCATGTTACTTAACATGACACCAGGCCAGCAAGGCAGGAGGGTTGCTAAGGAACCAGAACTTCATACTGTTCAACAGATATATGTATGAAAACCTCACAAATCACACAATATCTGCTTCCAAAATTACTACAAAAGAGTAATACACCTTGCATGTAGTACAAAATGCAGATTCATTTCAATTTCCCAGGTTTGGCGTATCTTAACTGGAGATGCTTAGTCAGCCTAGGACAGTATTAACAAGTCTGACAGCAGCTCAACAGGGGTTTCCCCCAGACCTGTTATTTAAGCTCCTTTTATCTGAAGACGCCAAGGACTGAACCAGAAACCATCTGCCTGCAACACACATGCTCTGCCACTAAGCTCTGGCCTCCCCTATCCTTATAATCTAAGAAGTTAGCACACACTTCCCAACATTTTAACTTAGCAGCAGAGAACTGCAGCGGAAATCACTTTGGGCTCACACATCAAAGTTTGCAAGACTAACAGTTCAAGGATGTCTATCTGATGCCTCTCAAACCACACTAGGTATTCTTCAGCCTTTACACCCTTGCAGCAGCATGTGGCAAGAGAGGGGGTGGCATGAACAATGTCCTCCAGTGTCCCCCAAGAGACAGGGATGCCACAAACTTGGGGGGCTTTAAATGAGGATTGGGAAAAATCCGTGGAGGAAAGAGCTATCAATTCCTATTGGCCACAGGAATCTGGTTGGACAATGTGAAAACGAGCTGCAGGACTGGATAGGCCGCTGGCCTGATCTAGCAGAGCTGTTCCTATAGAAGGAAATGAAAAATGACCAAGAGCAAAGGGTAGAGCATGAGACTTTCGATCTCAGGGATGTGGATTCGAGACACACCTTGGGCAAAAGATTCCTGCACTGCAGTGGGCTGGACGAGATGACCCTCCTGGCCCTTTCTACCCCTACAAGTCTACGAGTTGCAAAAGTCTTCTCTGCTCACTCCTTGTTGCAGGGTGATGTCCGGACTCCATACGATGAGGCTGGAGAGTCAGAACCAACTGGCAGCCCAAAACAAAGCACCATGGGGAGGAGCAGGGGAAAGCAACACCCCGCCCCCATATACGCTTGGGGTGCATCATGCAAAAGTAGCGTTGTAAGGGGACCACGAGGGTCAGCTGGTATTTGCAATGCAGGAATCTTTTGCCCGACGTGAGACTCGAACCCACGACCCTGAGATTTAAGAGTTTCATGCTCTGCCGACTGAGCTATCCCAAGGACCAACTTTGGGTTGCAAAATAAAGCGACTGGTAATTTAAATATTATTATTAATAATAATTCGCTTTTGAAAACAGTGCAAATATAGATATATAAGACTGCGAGCCCCCAGCCTCCACTGAGTTCCAAAAGCAAGCCTACTTAATTGCAACCTGGCAATTAGACCCTTTAGACCCCCTATTTTTGTGTGTGTGTGCCCCCCCCTCCTAGCAGCAGGTAAAGAGGGTCGCCAAGCAAGGGGGGCTAAGGCTCTGCTGGAAGAAGCCCCTCCCCTAGAGCCCCCTTCCCCAAATGAGCCCCACCTGAGAGGGGCTCGCGAGACCTCTACTCACAGCAGCAGCCTCCTCCCTGCCGCCGCCGCCGCAGACCATTCACATTCCCCAGAGCAGCTGGCCCAGGTGGGACAAGGCACAGGGCTCACGCTTTTTCGCGCAGGCTTCTGGGAATTGTAGTCCCGCCCCTTTCCCCTCTCGCTGCGATCCCGGTGCAGCAGCGGAGAACTGGAGAACTACGTCTCCCATAGTGCAGCTGCGCAGGGGGAGGAGGCCCTTTCCGTTTACTGTCTTGGCGGCCGCGCTAGTGCCTGAAAGCACCGATCTTTTGTCACAGGGAGGGAGGAGAGTTGAGGCTTATTTATTTTTTTATTTTTAAAAAAACAAAAACCAGCCACGATACAGGGCCGCCGCGCTGAACCAATTCGACTCGGGTTCGAGGGAAGCAGATTCGGATACTCGCGTCAGGCGGTACTTAGGACGGCTAAACATTCGAGAGAGTCTGTTAAACCGTGGAAATCGTTCATTGGCGAGAGGGGAAAAGAAAGGGGCGGGGCTTAGAGGAGGTAAGCGAGCGGTAAAGAGGCGTGGCAAACTGAGCCAATGCTGGGATTTGGAGGCGGGGCTAAGAAGGATGCCGTGTTAGATCTGAAGATTCAGAATCAGCGTTACGGATATGAATGACGCTGGTGGAGGAGGCGGGGTTAGTGAGAAGGCGTTTGATAGTGAGGTGTCAAATATAAAATGCAAGGTGCTAGTCCTCAAACACGCTCACCTCCCTAGGCATGACCAGAAGCTGCAACCTGGAGGGTTTTCTGTTTGGGCCTTATTCTCTTCCCTACATCACAGGTGGAGAACCATTTTTTTTTTGTTGTTGTTCAAGGGCTGAAAATGGGTGAATTTCAATAAATGTGAATTTCACTTTTGCACCAGCAGGTAGATTCTCCACATTCACCCAAACCTCTTGTTAAGTTGTGGGTGAATATATCAGACGACACAGCGATTCTTCAAACAGCTCTTGTTTATTCACAGACCCAGAACAGAACTGAAGGGTTCAGCCAGCCTGCTTATATAGAGCTCCAGTACAATGCAACAGTAACAACTTTCTGTAACTATCCAATCACTGAACGTCACTTTCAATTCCTTATTTGCATATGTGGGCCTGAGTGAAAACTATCTACAGTATCCCCCTGCTGGCCCAGGGTGAGAACTTCAGTACATAACACCTCTATGCTCCATTCATGCAAGCAAGAAGGACACGGTCCAGCCAGGCAAAAAACACTCAAGGGCGGGTGCAAAATACAACGGGTGAGGTGTATTGCCTGTGGAGAGTCCCAATGCCTGGACAGAGAAATGTAAATGTATCCCCCCTCAGTCTGAAGCTCTCTCACACACACTGACTGCCTACCATAGCTGTCAACCGTCCCTTATTTGGCGGGAAAGTCCCTTATCCCAGTGCCGTGTCTCACTGCTGTCCCTTATTGATGATGTCCCTTAAATTTCCCGGGTGTCAAAGGAAGCAGCTCCTCTCCCTCCCTCCCTGCCGGCCAGGGAGGAGGGAGGCTCCAACTGTGTTGCTTGGCTGCGTTGCTCACCCAATAAGGAGTCTAAGAACGACTGGGGGGTGGAGCTTGCATGCCTTGTGCCGATCAAATCAGCCGCGTTGCCTGGGGACTCGCCTTTGCTCAGCGCTTCCCAGCGGAGAGGTGACAGTAGTTTTCCTTGCTGCATCCCCTTTGCCGGGTTGCTGTGCTGTGGGAACCACCGCTTGAGGCTTTGTTTGGCTGCTGGCTGGGCTTTTTGCCTTTGGCTCAGAGGGGCTCAGAAGTTGAACATACTTGTGCTTCGAAAATCCCTTATTTTGGCTGCTGATCCCTTATTTTCGAGGCTGCTGGTCCCTTATTTTCAAATCTGTAAGTTGACAGCTATGCTGCCTACACCGTGTGCTTTGGCTCACTTGCAAGAGTTGTTGCACTTCCTCTGGAATAAACTTTATGCAGATCATATGGCCCCCGCTGGAGTTTGGCTAACAGATTTGTGGAGGAGCTGATGGCGAGCGGGTGCTTTACTTCAAGAGGTTGGTTAAAATCAGCAGTGGGGATCCTGCGATCTCTCAGGTGTTGGATTCCAACTCCCATCAGCCCTATCATCTAGCATGGGATGATGGGAATTGTAGTCCAGCAAGATCCGTAGGAGTCAGGCAGCTATTTAGTCCATTCCAGCTACATTATTGCATGGCAACTTACTTTAACACAGAAATTCCAGGAGCTACTGGGATGGTTTTCTGCCATTGTTTGGGCCCGTGAAGCATTCAAGAGATGTGTGAGAAAGTGCACATTAAATCACAAGTTTCATCTGCCTGCTTGTGTGGCCACATGAGAACGGCTGCTGAATTCAACTGTAGGAGCGTTGTGTAAAACTCTTGTGCAAGCATTTTCACAACAGTTTTGGAAACTAGTCCAAGGTACGTGGTGCCTGACTCAGCTTCTCATTATTGTAAGAGCAATTTGCGAAAATGCAGCATGTTCAGCCTGTCTTCAAAAAGCCTTGCGTCACAGAGGAAGAGCACTTAGTTCCCAACTTGGAAACACAAAGAAATGGTCTCTCCTGACCTCCATACAATTTCCTCCAGCTTCTCAGTAAGTGTGGATGCCTGTGTTTTATTATCCACCGTTTGTGCGGCATTTCCACTGACGTGTGTCACTGCTTGGTGCCAAAATCCTAGAACAGCAACTGGCCCATATTTTCCAAATGAGGAATAAGAGTTGCCTACTGAATGGAAGAAAGCAGACCCCTGTAGGTTAATTCTTTTTTAAAAAAACAAAACATTGGACAAGTTGACACAAACTGGTGCATGTATACTGTATGTGTAAGCAAATAACTAAACAAATAAATAAATAAATAAATAAGAATTATTTTGCTTGGTTGTCAGATTTGGAGGGAGAGAGGAGAGTCTGATTATTTGAGGCCATGTCTACACCATATATTTAAAGCACATTTATACCCCTTTAACGGTCATAGAGAATCCTGGGAACTGTAGCTTCTTAAAGGTACTGGAATTGTAGCTCTGTGAGGGCAGCAACTAGTTTCCAGGATTCTTGGTTTGGGGGGGGAACCCTGACAGAGTAGTATGTGTGCTTTAAATGTATGGTGTGGGGGTGTGAGTCTCCTCACCTCAAAAAAAATATTGAAAAGTGGGGGGGGGGTCCGAAAAGGGTAACCAGAATCATTTCCTATTACTGTATTCCCAAGCAATGCCGCCTGTTAGCTCCAAACAGATATGTACAGGCAGAGACAGGAATGCAATGCATAAACCTCAGGATTTTGAAGCAGATTAGAGACGAGGCTAGCAGGACTCTGGATAGATCACTTTTCCAAGGGATTTGGATAAAATAATTAATCTGAGCCTTGAAAATGCACATAGAGGTGAAAGAGGAATGAAATATACTCAGAGTTGAGAGTGGATCTCATGCTCTTTATTCAGCTCATAGTGGTGAGGTGGAATGGAAGTTCCCCCAGAATGTCTGCTTTATATACATTATTTACACAATGGGCCCCACGTGATTGGCTAATTCCGGGATTCACCTGTAGGCCAACCAAGTTGCGGATTCACTTCCACCTGGAGCTGGATTGGGTGACTCATGTGGACCAATCAGACTGCTGCATTCTGGACCCTATTGTTCTAGGACCAATCAGACTGCTACATTTTGGATCCTATTCAACTCAGTACATAACAAGGAAGTAGGAAAGAGTGTCTCTCTCCCAACTTCCTCCTTCAGTTCTATGTCGTTTTCACCTCTCTCACCACCTCCTGGTTAAGAGAATGTGTGGATACCAGGGGAAGATCTCAAGAGCTTCCACTGCCCCCCACCGGGTGCCTTTCTGGTGATCGCTGGACTAGGATATGATTACCCTAATGTGATTGTGAGAAGACGATCTGTTCTTGACTCGTGTGCCAGAAGAAAGGGAGTCATTCTGCAGAGTCGCATCTAAACCCTGAAGAAACAACAGTGCTATGGCATTTGATGACTAAGGCATGCCCATAGCTGGAGCACCGACTTGAGACGAAGTGTCCTCTGCTTTATGTGGTATTTATTCTCTATGTTTCCAGTGGGCCCGTTTCCAGTCAGGTTGTTTTATCTTGTTTTTTGCCGTTCCTTCTGATTTACTCCGTCCTTCGTTTCAATATTCCTTTCTACTCTTCGCAATGTTAAACACGCAGCAGACGGGCATCATTTTGCTATTAAAGAAATATCCCTTGAGAAGGCTCCGTGTAAGATGGACATCAAATACAGTGTTACCATATCGCCTTATTCCCTGCCCTTAAATCGATATTGCCATTTATTATAAACCTTTGGAGTGTTCTCTCTAATTCACGCCTGCCTTTTGATACTTGCCACTAATCCTACTACTAAATCACTCCTAAATGTCACTTTCCCTTACCACCTGGTCTCCCTCCCTCTCCTTCCTGCGTTGTCTTCAGATTAGTAGGATGAGGGCACAGCTGGTGTCTTAATTCTGATGTCCAGTGCCCGGTTGATGGTAGGGAAGTGAGAGCTGGACCATAAAGAAGGCTGATCGCCGAAGAACTGATGCTTTTGAATTACGGTGCTGGAGGAGACTCTTGAGAGTCCCATGGACTGCAAGAAGATCAAACCTATCCATTCTGGTTTTTTTTTTTAATAATATTTTTTATTGCTTCTTTCCAAGTTCAGATACATCGTCAATGATTCAACAAAAGCGACTTTACAAAAAAGAAGAAAAGAAAATCATAAAAAAGAAGAAATTCACATTTTGCAAACAATTTTTCATAATCCACTGGACTTCCTCACATCCTCCGCCCCCTGCATTCTTTACCATAAATAAAGAGATAACAGCAAATTAATACCTTGTTTCATGCGTTTTTGTACTTTCATCTATTTGTATTTTAGATTTAGGGTACTTGTTATGTACTCACTTTTCCATCAATCCTGAAAATATAAACATTACTCTAAAATTTAGTCCTTTCACACTCATAACTTAATTTCCACCATAGTCAAATTTAGTTGCTGAAGTTTGTTTTCCCAAAGCTTAGCAAATTCTCAACATTCATATAACTTATAATATTTTTGCAAATAGTCTTTAAATTTTTTCCAGTCCTCTTCCACTG